ACCAGCCACTCCTCAGAAGGAAGGTTGGGCAATCTACTTCAGGAGTGATACTGCCTCGGAAACCCAAGGAGAGGTCTCTATGAGTCAAGTCCAACTTGACAGCACATAACAAGAAGAAGCATCTCAAGCAGTGGTTACTTAAATCAACTAGGGGCACTTTACAATAATTTAGAGTAGACTTGGCTTTTGGCCTGTACATACTATGTACTTATGTACAAGCATGGCTTAAATGGGTGGCTGGTGGTCATTTCACATCATGACTACATTTACTGACTTTTATAGATCTGAGAAAGGATTTTAAAAATTCCCTTGTGCCAAAACACTTTTTATCTTGTATTTGTTTAATATTCAACCCCCTCTTCCTAGTTTATTCTCTGAATTGACTCTAATTTTTTTTCTCTATTTTAAGGTATACAAAAATACAATAATGTTATTGATTGCTGCTTTCTGTCATGGAAACATTATTGATGGCATCTGTATTAATCTTCAAATGTTTTGTCTTCTTAAATTAATATCAGGAGCTTGAAGACAGCAAAAGCTATAGTCATTCCTAAAATACAGCAGCTGCCACTAGTCTATGTTGGCTATGTTCAAGAAAGCACATTCCAGCATCTTTGTGTTTCAATATTGCAGCCCACATTTTCAATTTAAAAAACTGGTATGAATGTTGGTTAAATTCATGGTAGGCTGAAAATTGTCCCCAAGTACTTCTAGCCTAAGGCACTTAACTACTAACCAGAAGGCTAGTGCTTCAAACCCACCAGCCACTCCTCGGAAAGAAGGTTGGGCAATCTACTGCCACAGTGATACTGCCTTGGAAACCCAAGGAGGGGTTGCTATGAGTTGGGTCCAACTCGATGGCACATAACAACAACAACAACAATCCCTACAGCCTATGAATGTTATCATTTATGGCAAAAGTGACTTTGCAGATTTGATCATGTTGAAGATTTTCAGAGACAGAAAGTATCCTGGCTCATCGTGTAGGTCCTAAATGTAATTTCAAGTGTCCCTCTAAGAGGGACGCAGAGGGAAATTTGACAACAAAAGATAATGATGCTATAGAAGCAGAGAGAGACTGAAGATGCTAACCCCCTGGCTTTGAAGAGGAAGGAAGGAAGGGGCCACGACCCAAGGAGTGCTGGTGTGTTATTCTCTAGTGTTGCTATAACAGAAATACCACAAGTGGGTGGCTTTAACAAACAGGGATTTATTCTCCTACAGTTTAGAAGGCTAGAAGTCTGATTTCAGAGTACCAGCTCTAAGGGCTGGGTAGAGGCCCCTAGACCTTGGGCTTCAGCTCTAACACTTGTTCAAGGCCCACTGGAGCTGGAGGCTTCTTCTAACTCATGTAGCTGCTGGCTGCAGATACTGATGAACACAAGGCTGGCAGGCAAAATGGCACAATCCCCAAATCACAGGCAACATGGCAAGCCAGTTTCAAGTCCAGAAACAATCCCAAGATCAGCAGGCAATATGGCTCAAGATGTGCAAAAAAGCTAGAGACCTTTCCCAAAGCTCCTCCACATACACTGGCAGCAGGCCTCGCCCTGACGGTAACTCCCTTTCAACTACTTAGCTGCTCACAGCAGATTTCACCATGGAGGTGATTATAATCTCCTCATGGGAAATAACTGCATCCAGCTGCCATGTCACTCAAAATCACAGCCCACCCTTAACTACCACAGCAGGGAATGAAGCTCTAGAAGCTGAAAAAAAGGGAGCAAGGAAGTGGATTCTTTCCTATGGCCTACAGAGGGAGCATAGCCAGGATGGCCCCCTGACTTCAGCCCAGTGAAAGTGATATAGAACTTCTGGCCTCCAGAACTGTAAGAGAAATAATCTGTGTTGCTCTGGGCCACTAAATCTGTGATAATGTATTACAGCAATCATAAGGCACTAATAAGGTTCCTCAAGCTCGTTTATTCCCCCTTTCACTATACAGTCTTGTTGCTGCTGTGTGCCACTGAGTCAATTCTGACTCATGGTGACACTATACGACAGAGTGGAACTGCCCCCCCAGGATTTCCTAAGCTGTAATCTTTATGGGAGCAGATAGCCAGTTCTTTTGTCCCATAAAGTGGCTGATAGGTTGGAACCACTGAACATTCAGTTTGTAACCAAGTGCTTTAACTACTGCACCACCAGGACTCTGAATATGTAGGCTTCGTCTGAACAAATCTGAATTCCAGTTCCAGGACTAGAAGAAAGCCTCTGTCTTAGAGGATGGTTGGCACAGAAGCAAGCTCTCCATTATTGCTGTGGACATAAAATAAGCCTGTTGCCCAGTGGTGATACCTGGTAACTACACATAAAGAAATCCACCGAGTGCCACTGAGTCGATTCTGGGTTTCCAAGGCTGTATATCTTTATGGAAGTAAACTGTCTCATTGTCCTTCTGTGGAAGCTGGTGGGTTTGAACCACCACCCTTCCGGTTAGCAGCCAAACGCCTTACCCACCACACCACCAGAGCTCCTTAGCATATAAAACCAAAACCCATTGGGAGCTCTGGTGGCACATGCTGCTGAATAATTAACCATCATCACCATGGTTATCATGATTGTCACTAATAATCATTTAGATCTCAACTTTGTTTCCCCAACCAAGCTTAAGTAATCAGTTATCTGAATACACAAATATCTGACTTTTGGAGCACATTCAATTTAATAGATTCCTAAAACTAATTTTGAAATTGAACTGATTGTTTTTCTCTGATTTGGGAAGGAGAAGGAACTTGAAGTGTAGCACACACTTTTTTAATACGTAGGGCTTGACCATAAAATGTTCACATTGCCCTGGAATCTTTTCGTGGCATCTTTATGAGTCAATGCCAAAACATTTGAAAGTAAAATAACAGGCTTTTGCCAGACATGTTCTAAAGAACATTGATTTAGCCAAACTAAGCTGGTTAACAGGCAGTTACAAACACTATGTCCTCGTGTGATAAAAGGCTAGCATAACTTCAGTGGGCTGCTCAGTTTCTTCCACGAATCTAAATAAACCCACACCTCATGGGAACGTGGGTTGACCTTTCCATAAAGACTGAGAAATCATTTTCAGGTCTCATTTCCTTCTATACAGTCCTTCATTTTCTCAGTCTCCCTCCCTCTCACTCCCTGTATTTATTCTTCTTGCTGCTCTAACCTTCTACCATTTCCCAAAAGTTCCATTCTCTCACATCTTTGGGACTTAGTGTAAGTGTTAACACTTTCATTAAATGATCATTTAATAAACTGGGGGGGGGGAGGGGTTGTTAAATGTAACTTCTGGTTTCCCAGGTTTGTTCCTTCCTGTTCCCATAGCTTTCTGTGCCATCTCCATTAAAGCACTGTCACATGATGCAGTAACTACTGTGTGCATCTTCTTCCTAACTAGTTTGTAAATAACTTGAGGATACAGGTTTTATTTCAGGTGTCTTTACATCCCCAGCTCGTAGCAAAGAATCCAGAAAAAATTATGCCCTCAGGAAAATGTGAATGAATAAATGTATACCCACAATACAATATTCAGAGAGTAAATATCAAGGACATTTAGTCTAACAAATGAAAGATCTTGACTGTTTACATGTTATAATTAGAGAAGTCTTGCAAAATTTTATCAGCCTCCAAACTTACCAGAAGCCGTGATCTGCAGCACATCGGATGGAACATTTAACAACTCTGAAAAATAATCCTTGAGGTGTTTGAACATGGTTTCGACTTTAAAAGGCATTATAATTTCCTGGGCCACAGGAAGAAGTACAACTTTCACTGGACATAAAAAGAGAAAAGAAGGAATCATTGTCAAATATAGGTCTACAGTCTACAGCCCTCAAACAGGTACAGCATAAATAGCAACTTAAAATTGAGTGAGGTTCATTTATTCACAAAGAACAGATTCTGCAGAATAGAGAAGTTCTGACACTTGGTAAAGAGACTCAAGCAGTGTAGCTACAGAAGTTTGGTGGCTAAGAGAAAAGGAAAGTAATATCAGATATGAAACAATAAACCATTAACAAACAAGTAAAAGCATCCTTCCAAATGAGGAAGTAAAACAGCTTATCTTCCCCAGGTAATACCCATTGCTGAAGAATCTTCTCTTGATAATTTCAAAGACTCCTTGATAGTCCTTATTCTATCCAGAAAGAGCAGGTTCTCCTCGGGATGTGGTGTGGATGGCTGCACTGCATTATCTGACGTGGTTAAATACTGCTTGTCATAATTTGCTGAAGTATAGGACACTTGGCTGGGTGACACAATCTCTGCCCTGAATGATTCTTCATTGTCTTCTTCCAGGCTTATGTAGCTCTCCTCACTCTGCTCACTCTGAAACTCCACACACGTCTCACGGCCATCAGCGAACGACTCTAGTTCAGAGTCCTGCTGCTCTTCAGGTCGATGTGGCTCCTGAAGCTCTTCTGTGGAACCTGGAACAGTGACAGTCTCAAATGCACCGTCAGTTCCTTCTGATGCACGTATATTCTCAGCATCAGATTTTCGCTCCTGATCAGACATTTTCCTGAATTGAGAAAAAAGACAAAGACATTTAATATGTATCATTAGGCTATCAGGAAATTACTGCAGAATCCACACAAAGTAATAGTGAAATGGACCAGGTGATAGTGGAGGAAATGGTGAGAAGTGGTCGGATTCTGGATATATTCTGAAGGTAGAGCTAAAAGGATTTGCTGATGAACTGATGGGGGCTGTGATATAAAGAGAGAAATCAAGGTTATGTCCAAAATGTTTAGCCTGAGCAACTGAAAACTGCCAAGTAAAGCAGGTCTGAGGTGGACGTGAGATCTGATTAGAATTCTGTTTGGGGCATGGAATACTATTGTACAACTTGGTTTTCTTTTATTTATTTAACATATATTTAACATATTTCCATATAAGATGTGTGATTCTGCCTCATTATTTTGAAAAATCTTGTAGTAATTTCATGGCAGGGCTGAGCTACATATATTCAACTGTTGGACATTAAAGCTGTATCCAATTTCTTGGTATTAAAAGCAATGTTGCAACAAACACCTTGCACGTGTTACTGTTATGTTGTGTGTCCTGGAGGAAGTGCAGCTGCAATGCTCTTTGGAAGAAAGAATGGCCAGACCGTGTATATATTATCTTTTTACATATGTGTAAGTATACTGTAATATAAATTTCCAGAATTATAATGGATGAGCCATGGGGTATATATGTTTTAACTGCTAAATGCCATCAAACTGTCTTCCAAAAAGGCAACACCATGTTACAACCCCTAACACAGCTCCTTGCCTGTTGCCTTATATCTTTATCTTATGAGTCTTCATAATTACCTCTTTATTATGTATGCAAGTATATTTCTCAGTATGTATTTTAGCATTATGTTGACTTTTACTCTAAAGAATTTTTATATTTTTAGGTGGTGAAACGGTTGGACCTTCTTGTTTATGAGATTTTCCAAACTTCACCGTATGCTTAGAAACACCTTGAAAGGAAGCCTAAAAACATAGATCCATACACATACACACACACGTGTGCACAAGCACACACAACGAGGTAGGTCTGTGAATCCTGAGAGAAGCACACGTCGTTGAGTGAAGAAACAAGTTTTTGCACCTGTTTATAATGCTACAATTACAACTATATATTTATATATGCACAGAGTGCTTTTTAAAGGTGAACTAGAGGACCGGAGGGGCATGGGTAGACGGGAGTTTTCCCTGTTCATTCCTTTTGCGAACTTTTTATCATTTGTATCTATCAAAACGTAAATGTTTTGAAACTTAAAAATTTTAAAAAGAAAAAAGCAGTTTCCATCATGACTGCATAACAAAAAGAGTCCTCCTTTCCCCGTCTAAGACGTGACTTCATATTTTAGTATTTAAAGGGACACCCGGGCTTTAAGTGTAAGAAAAGATCCAGTTTTGCCTTCCACCAAAGCGACAGGCTTAAGTTTTTAAGAAGCACAGCATGGACCACTGGTGGAGGGAAGGGGTGAGAGTGCGGGTGAGGAAACTAGGAATGTCCTCAGTATACAAGGACTGAAAATGGTTACCATGGGCGGCTAAACGCTCCCCGACGCCTGGCCTGGGTTACACACACCTCCTGTGTCTACACTAGGCTCCCCGAAGCACTCGGGGTGGGAGACGCTGTACTGCTCTGGCTTGATGCTGCTGCTGCTTCTGAGTCCCCAAATCTAGGAGCCAGATCCAGAAATCGAGCCAGGAAAGACCGGATGCCTTGCACGGTTTTTAAAGCGCAGGTGGCCATTCCCGACAGGCCCGGAGGGCCCGGGAGCCAGGGAGGGATCAGCGTCCGCACGTGGTCCTGGGACTTCAGCGCCGCAGAACGACCAGGGCCTGTCGGGGCTTTGGACAGGAGAAGGCAATCGGAACCTCTCCTCCTACCTGACTAAAGAACCAACCGCAACTACTCGCCTCGAAACGGTTCCTTCCAGCTCCAGGAAAGCAGCGTCCGTGCTCTCGGAGTTCTTTGTTGCTTGCCGTATCCTAGCAACGGTGCGAGCGCCACCTCCGCCCGCAGGGCACCGCCGGGGAGAGTAGAGGAGGTGCAGGAGCTGGCAAGGAACGCGGCAGGGGCGAGGGGCAGAGCTGGGGGCGCAAGGTGGGTGGAGAGACGGGAAAAAAAACACTGGAGGAGGGGGCGGGGCCGCGGGGCGATGGGGCGGGTGAGTGGAACGCTACGGGGAAGGGGTGGAGCCTGGGTCGTGAAGGGGCGGGAAAGCAGAACACGAAGTGTGGGGAAGGTGTTGCCAAGTCGGAAGTAAGGTAGTTCTCCCAGAGTGGATCGGATGCTTCCCACCCTCAAGAATCTCTTTTACACCCGTGAAAGGGCAGGTTCTCCGAGCCCAGCAGTGACAGCAATTTACGCTTCTTTATAGATATAAGAAGGAGCTTTGGTAGCGTAGTGCCTAA